AGGTAGACAAATTCAAGATACTGGATTTTATAACAATTAAATTTCTATATAGTAACAGTCAAACTTTAAAAATGGGGCACTATCACAAATATAACAAAAACATCAGAATTACAAGGGCCTGATAAAAATGGTCAAGCAAAATCGAGTTCCTAAAGGAACTGTTATAAAAGGATCCTAATCGACAATTTATAAAAGGGAAACAAATTTACAAATAATTTTGAAAAAATGTTCAGCCTCACACAAAATGTTATGTCTGACTTTTCATGACCCCATTTGGGGTTTTCTTGGCGAAGATACTGGAGTGGTTTCTCCAGCTCATTTTACAGATAGATGAGGAGACTGAGGCAAACAGGGTTAAGTGACTTATTCAGAGCCACAGAGTTAGTGTCTAAGGCCAGATTTGAACTCAGGAAAATGAGTCTTCCTGATTCCAGGCCTGGCACTCTAGCCACTTAGCCACTTACCTGCCCACACAAAATGGGGATAAATTTAAAATGATAATTTTGATGAGGCAAGTCACCAGCATAATTATACTCTCTGGTCCAATAATATTGGTAATATGTTGAGAGAATTATCAGAAAGTTAAAAAAAAAAGTTGTTTATAGCGATATTTTAAAATAATTTATTTTTCCCAATTACATATAAAAATAATTTTAAACATTCTTTTAAAAAAGGTTTTGAGTTTCAAATTCTCCCCCACTCTCTTCCCTAACGTGTTATGCAGTTTGATATAGATTGTACATGTGCAGTCATGCAAAACATTTCCGTATTAGTCATGCTGTGAAAGAAAAGAGATTTTTAAAAAGTCATGAAAAAATGAAAGTAAAAAATAATATGCTTTTATTTGAATTCAGACTCCATAAGTTTTTTCTCTGGAGGTGGATAGCACTTTTCATAAGTCCTTCGGAATTGTCTTGAATCTTTGTATTACTCAGAATAGCTAAAGTCATTCAGAGTTGATAATCATAAAATATTGCTGTTACTGTGTGTACAGTGTTCTCCTGGTTCTACTTACTTCATTTTGCATCAGTTCGTGTAAGTCCAGGTTTTTCTGAAAACATCGTGCTCAGTAGTGTTCCATCACAATCATATACCACAACTTGTTCAAACATTCCCCAATTGATGGGCATCCCCTTAATATCTAATTCTTTGCCACCGCAAAAAGAGCTATAGTGACTATTATTACAAAAACTAGAAATAGCCAATGTTTCAATGTCAAATCATTGGGGAATGGCTGAATGAATTGTGATTATAGTTAAGATAAATATTTTTTAGATACCCATGTGAAATTGTGGTTGTGAGAAGAAATGAACTGAATTTGTTTCATTGATTTTTACCTCTCAGATCCAGAGGAGTACCTTGGAAATAGATGCTTAATTAAGTCAATAAAGATTAAGTGCCTCTTGTATACTAGGTACTGTTAAGTCCTGGGAGTACAAAGAAAGACTCAAGACAGTCCCAGCTCTCAAAGAGCTAACAGCTAATGGAAGAGACAGCATTTAGACAACTATGTACAAACACCATATAAGATAAATACTTGTTGATTGATGGAGACACTGACTACAGTTATGTAAAAAGAAATATGGATATACTCTATATAGATAAGAACATTTGTGGACACTTAGAAAGCTAATCCAGCAATATTTAAATATAGTTATAGGAGCATATTTGTTAATGTTTACTTATTCTTTTTTAAAAGATAGAATTTTTCTGCAAAAGTAGTTTTCAGATACCAGATTTAGATTAAACAGAAGATGGGACTACATATGTGATTTCATTGATAAAGAAAGTTTCCGATGAGAAAATTCCCTCTCCAGGCAGGTCAGTCAGTAAGCTTTTTTTTTTTTTTTAAGTGCCTACTTTATGCCAGACACTGCTAAGCTCTAGGGTACAGAGAAAAGCAAAAGCCTTTTGAGAAGCTCACGATCTAATGGGGGAGATAAGCAAACAATTACCAACAAGCTATATACAGAAAAAACAGAGATGGGGAATGACTTCCTATAGAATGTGGTATTTAAACTGGATAGGAAAGAAGAGGCAGAAAGGAGGAAGGAGAGCCTTCCGGACATGGGGACAGCCAGAGAAAATGCCTAGAGTGAATAGATGAAGTACCTTATTTGAGGAACAGGAAAGAAGCCAGTGTCACTGGGTGAAAGAGGTTAAGAAGTATAAGGTGGTAGAAGTCTGAAAAATGTGGGGGGTAAGTTTTGAAGAAGGGCCTTGAATGCCAATAGAGGATTTTTTTCTTTATCCTAGAGATGATAAGGAGCCAATGAGTTGAGATGGTAAGGGTGAGGAGGAGGCTGGGGGACATAATCAGATCTGCTCTTTAGGAAAATCATAGTGGCTGAATGGAGGATGAGCTGAAGTATGGAGAGATTTATGGCAGGCAGATCCACCAGCAGGTTATTTCAGTACTCTAGGTATGAGAAAACGAGGGCTTGCACCTGGGTGGTGGCAATGTCTAGGGAGAAAAGGGGGGTGGTGTTTACTTGAGGTCAACCAGCCTTGCTACTGATTGGATAGGGGGAGGGGCAGAGCTTGGTACGATAGTGAGGAGTCGAGATTGCAAGCTTGGGAGACTGGGAAGGTGGTGTTACCCTCAACAGTAATGGGGATAGAGCACCGACCCTGAAGTCAGGAGGACCTGAGTTCAAATCTGGCCTCAGACCAAACACTTCACACTTACTAGCTGTGTGACCCTGGGCAAGTCACTTAACCCCAACTGCCTAAAAAAAACAAAAGAAAACAGTAATAGGGAAGTTGGGGAGGGGAAAGGGTTTAGGGGGAAAGATAAGTTCAGTTTTAGACATGTTGAGTTTAAGATGTCTACTAGACAGTAAAGTCAGGCAGTTGGAGATGTGAGACTGGAGATCAGTAAAGAGGTTTGCATTGAATAAATAGATTTGAGAACCATCAGCATAAAGATAGTTGATCCTTGCTTTCTCTGAAACTTGTAATCTTAAGAAAGTTTTTGGGGTACTGAAACCCTGAATTACACTAATTTGTCAGAGGTAGGACTTGAACCCAGATATCTCATTTCCCACTCAGCTGTTCTTATTTTAGTTTTCTTTGACTTCACCGTGCCCCTAGTAAACTCTTTTTTGGGAAATTTCATTTTTCAAGATTTAGTCAGCTTTGGTATTCACACCTCATGAAGCACTCTTGCTCCCCTGGAGGGTCAAGTCTTGTACTTCCTTTTCAATTTTCTTTTGTGTATTATATTCCTCTACTACTTTGTGAGCTCTTTGACAGTTGTGATTGTTTTTTGTCCTGCTTTGCAATTCTCCTCACTGTGCCTGTTCTTAGTAGGTGCTTAATAAGTGTTTCAGTGATTTTCCTAAAGAGCAGATCTGACCATGTCCCCCACCCTTACCACCCCAACTCAATAAACTCCCATTGGCTCCTTATCACCCATAAGATAAAGTGCAAAATCCTTTATTGTCATCCAAGGCCCTTCATAACCTACCCCCCACAAGGTTTTCAGACTTAAACTTCTTACACTCTTCCATCCAGTGACACTGACCTAATTCCTGTTCTCACACAAGGCACTTCTAGTTGGGCAAAGTTCCCTTTGCTTCTCTTTCTTCTCTCTCTACATAGTGTATCACACCATTACTTGCCAGTTCTCTGCCCAAAGGCATTTAAACTTTAATTTCTGAAACTTTTTTTTTCTTGTTTTAGTTTTTTCTCTTAAAAGCCATCCTTAACCCCAAATCACTCTGGTCCCAGACCAAGCCCTATTTGGTCACTGGGCCATGATTGACTCAGAATGAATGTAAGTAACTATTGTTTTTGTTTTGGCCAGAAACCAAAAGGGGAGGGGTCTTCCCCTCCCAGATTTTTTTTTTTAAAAGGCCATTGTTTGCCTCAGTCAGTGAAAGGGTGCTGCTTCAGTCAAACTGAGATCTGTTAAAGACCTTAGCTTGAAAAGGCCAAGGTCTCCCACTGCGTCCTGGCCCATCTCCAGTTGTCCTGATCCATATCTGGCCACTGGACTCAGATGGCTCCTGAGGAGAAAGTGAGGCTGGTGACTTTGCACAGTCCTCCACTTAAATCCAGTTCACTTGAATGTCATGGTATCATGTCACTTATGTCAGGGTCCTCTTTGAGAACAGAGGACAAATAGCAGCAATTTTCAAATACAGGGAAGGTTAAATAAGCTTAAGATTACTTTTAACTAAAAAAAAAAAGATTGCTTTGAACTACTCAGGTATTGGGATAAAGATTCAAAGGTGAAAAGGGAAAAATCATAAATCTATTAGTTCGAAAAGTATACTATAGAGTGCAGAGGCAACGTGGCATGTTAGAGATTTTCTTGGACTTGGAGTTAGGAAAATGTGGATTTGAATCTGTACTCACATTTTGCCAGCTTAATGACCCTGGACAATGACGCTGAACCTCACTTCTTGAGCCAGCTCCCAAGACCTTATCTGTTGAGATAAGAGGACTACAACTATGAGAGTTGTGAGAATCAAATGGGATCATGTATGTGAAGTGGCCAGCACTCCTTTAAGTGCTATTGTCAGTATGAGCTATTCGATAAATTGTAAGGTTGCCAGGCTTTATCATGGGAGGGTGTTAACTGCATTCACTTAGTATGGTATAGAAAGGGCCCCATCTGGAAAAAGTGCCATGATAAGGAATAATGGCAACAAATAAAGTGTAAAGTATGAAGTATAGTAAGGAAGAGTCCATTTATCTTGATAGTATATAAAGTTATAACTTTCATTTTTATGCTCTTTTTTTTATAAATAGAATATTGTTTTAAGTATAATTTTACTGATTTCTGCTAATTTTGATTTAATAATTTATCTTCTGTCTCTACAGTAGTAACATTCGTCTATTACTTATTCTTGGCTTCTATTAAACTTTATACTGGCATATAGGTCAGAAGAAAGAAGAGTTTTAAATTGGATACTGTTTGAGTAAAACTGGGCTCAAGAGTTTTAAAACTTACAAGACTCTTTTTTTTCTCTCTCCCTTTCTCTCTTATCAAGGATTCTGGACTTTGTTTGTTATATCCTTAACAGCAGGATTCTCATGTTGCAGTTTTTCTTGGACAGTGACTTATTTTGATTCTTTTGAACCTGGAATGTTTCCTCCTACTCCTCTTTCACCAGCAAAGTTCAAGTAAGTGTTTTTGTCTTTAAATGTTGCCTCTTTAGTTCTTTTCTGTCTGTGAGTAAATAGAAACCTGCATTATTTTTGAAGTGATTCCTTTCCCTATGTCTTTATTCCCTTTATTCTTAAAAGATAAACTTATTTATTTTTGCGTGCATTTATAATCTGTTCCACTATCTTTCCCCCTTCCTCTCTAAACAACAACATCCAAATGAAAAACAATACCTTTATTATAAATAATATATGTAGTCTTGCAAAATAATTTTCATGTATTGGCTATGACCATATATGTCTCTCCACTTTAAGTTGATAACTTGAGTGGCATGTTTCATTTTTATTCTTCTGGTCTCATGGTTTATCATTGCACTCACTGAGTTCTAAAGTCTTTGAAAATTGTTCTCTACAATGTTCCTGTGGTATAAATGTTCTCCAGATTCTCACTTTGATCTGTCTTAGTTTACAGATGTCTTTCCATATTCCTCTGAAGCTGTCTATTTTTTTCTTATGTTACAGTAATGTTCTGTTATTTCCATATTCCATAATTTCTTTAGTTATTCCCCAATAGCTTTCTCTTCTTAGCCAGACTCCTAGGAAAAACTGTCTAGATTTGTTGCCTCTACTTTTCTCAGTCCTCATTCTTTTTGACTTCTCTGCTGCGTTGGACATGTTGACCATCCTATCTTCTGGATTCCTTCTCCTTTCTGAGTTTTTACAACAATGCTGTCTCCTGATTCTCTTCCTCCCGTCTACCCAACAGCCTGTTGGAAATTTTAAATTGGACATCTGAGACTTAACATGTCTAAAAAGAGAATTTATAAATTTTTTCTCCCCAAATCTACCCCTCTTCCATACTTGCCCATTTATATCAGAAGTACTACCATTCTTCCAGTGTCCCAGATCTGTAACATTAGTGTAATCTTAATTCCTCATTCTCCTTTACCCCAAATATCCAACCAGTTCTAAATCTTGCTATTTCCACATAACATCCTTTAATCCATTCTCATTTCTGCTACTGTAGCAGCCCATTTTTCCCCTTGATGAGTTTTAAGACTTCCATTTGGGATTGCCAGCTGGCCATGCTTTATTCCCCTTTTCACTGGGCTTCTGACTGTCCTAGACTTCATCACCATAACTCAGCTGCCTTCTCACCCTGGAACATCTTTCCACCATGTCAGCCCTTTTCTCCCATTGATGAGTTCCTTCTGTCAGTCTCCATTTTGGGAATATGCCCGGGGCAGCCATACTTTATTCCTTTTTCTGACTCTGCAGACTTTGCCATTATGTCCTCTTGTGGGTGCCTTCTCACCCACTTTTTAGGTCTTCTTTATGTATTGTCTTCCTCTATTAGAATGTATGCTCTTTGAGGGCAGGAGCTGTCTCTCTTTTTGTTTTGTTTTATATCTTCAGTGCTTACCATAGTGCCTGGCAAATAGTAAGCCCTTAATAAAGATTTGTTGCCCACATCTACTTGCACCAGCACCACCTAAGTTCAGGCCTTTATGACCTCTCACTTAAACTCTGCCTCAAATCTCTCCCCACTGTAAGCTATCCTCCATACAGCTGCCAAAGTGATTTTTTTCTTAATAAGGATGAGTCTGACCATGTCTTTCCCCTACTCCATTGGCTCCTTATTGTCTCTGTAATGAAATATGAACTCCTCAGTTTGGATTTTTAATGACTTCACAATCAGTTCTCAATCTCTCTCTCCAGCCTTATTGTATATCTTTCCTTCTCTTTATTTTACAATCCAGACAAACTGGCCTTATATTTGTTCCTCACATAAGATAACCCCATCTCTTCTCTCTGTGCCTTTGTTTTAGTAATCCCTCATACCTGGGATACTCTTTTTTCTTAACTAGGCCTCTTAGAGTCCCTGTCTCCCTTCAAGATGAAATTCAGGCCCTGTCTTGTACATGAAGCCTTTCATATCCCTTCCATCTGCTAGTGTTCTCTCCTTCTAACTGACTTGTATTTATCTCCCTTGTATTTATTTTGTATTTATTCTCTTTACTATTATTCTGAATATACTTACATATATGCAGGTATATACATATGTGTATGTATATACTTATACATACACATGGAGCCATCTCCATTTGTACTGATCTGTATCTTGCCACTGGACCCAGATGGCTCCAGAGGAGAAAGTGAGGCTGGTGACTTTGCACAGCCCTCTTTCACTTAAATCCAATTCACTTGCAAGTCATGGCATCACCTTCTGATGTCATGATCCTCTTCAGGAACAAAGGACAAACAATAACAACAGTGATCTCTCTCTCTCTCTCTCTCTCACTCTCACTCTCACTCTCACTCTCTCTCACTCTCACACACACATACACACACTCATCTCTCCCCCAATAGAGGTTGTAAATTTCTTGAGAGTAGAGATTGTTTCATTCTTTGTATTTGTATACCTAAAGTCTAACACAGTGCCTGGCACATAATAGGTGCTTAATAAATGTTTGTTGATTAGTTTATTACTAAATTCTTGTTGATTTGACTAATGAAGAAAAATGTTGCCAACTTTAAATTGTAGTAACCATAAAGGCTACAGATTCAGACATAGTATGGTATAGTAGTCAGGGGAGATCTGAGTTTGAGTCCCAGGTCTGAAACCCATGACAAGTCATTTAATCTCTTAGAATTTCAGTTTCACTTCAATAAAACATCAGTTTTTATAACCTTAAAATACTGTGTGTAAAAATATGAATTATTTTAGGATATGGATAGCAATCCGTTATGGGCAAATAATGTCCAAAAAAAAATGAAACTTTGCCTGTGTACTGACTTAAAGTTAATGAAACTTTTTTTTTTTTGCTTACCTTAAAATTTAATTTATATACCCTTTGAAAGTTTGGATTAATCCCCAACAAATACCAAACATCCAAGTTGAAATAGGATAAATTCAGGTGTCCCCAGCAAAGGAGATACGGTTTCTTTTTTTTTTTTTAATTTCCTTTTTTTTTATTAATTTATTTTGATTTATCAACAGTCACTTCCATATGCTTTTGAGTTTAAAATTTTTCTCCCCCTTCTTCCCTACCACCCTCCCCATGATGGCGCACAATCTGATATAGGCTATACATATACATTCCTATTAAACATATTTTCACATTAGTGATGTTGTAAGTAAGAATTAGAACCAATAGGAGGAACTACCAGAAAGAGGAAACAAAACTCAACAGAAGAAAAAAAATAGCAAATAGTGTGCTTCGATATGCATTCAAACTCCATAGTTCTTTCTTGGGATGTGGACAGCATTTTCCATCATGACGCCTTTGGAGATGTCTTAGATCCTTGTATTGTGGGGAAGGGTTAAATTTATCAATATTAGTCATCGCACAACGTGGCTGTTATTGTGTACAACGTTCTCTTGGTTATGCTCACTTCACTCAGCATCAGACCGTACAAGTCTTTCCAGGTTTTTCTGAAGTCAACCTGTTCATCATTTCTGATAGCACAATAGTATTCCATTACATTCATATACCACAACTTGTTCATCCATTCTCCAATTGATGGGCATCCTCTCCATTTCCAATTCTTTGCCACCACAAAAATAGCTGCTATAAATATTTTTGTAGAGATGTGGTTTCTAAGAGGCCTCTTAGAACTTAGAATTCTAGGCAAGTTGAGTACTTCCCTTTCCCCAAAGCCAACTAGGACTCTGGTGTTATCAGGACAAGATGACAGAAGGCATATGTAAAAATGAGCTAAAAAGATGTAGAACCACTTACTCTCTTTTCCACGCCCTGGGCAGAGCCAATGTGGAAGTTCAATTAATATGAATCCCAAAGAACATGATTTAAAATTGAAGCTTAGACCTTTTATAGATTATAATCAAATGATAGTTGTTGAAAATATTAAAGCACTGCAATGAAATTTTTGATTGCTATGGGGAGCTGGTACTTGGAGTTTGTCAAGTCTTCTCATTAGTCACCAGTTTAGTAATCCTATCTAAGGTTTTGTTAGGGATATCTCTCCTTTTTGATGAAAAGTAGGACTTTTACAGTTTTCTTGTATTCTTTTTACATTGCTCAGTTTTTCCTATGAATACTAGGATCTTTCTATTTACAGATTCTTTCAGGACTCTAAACTACAATGTCTAAGCCTCAAGTGTTAGTAATAGTTACTTTTAGCAGTAACAAAGTAACTAGCTACTTTCTTACAAACTTCTCACTTTTCTTAGTTTTGTGTTCCTAGTATTATACTTTTGTTTTATTGTTTCTTAAATTGAAGGTTCATTCTTGTTAATGTGTACCATTTATGCAAGCTAAACCTTCCTTCATCTTCTGTGTTGCCATTAGCCTTTTTTGCAAGTTTCTGGTTATTTGGTCTGTTAGTCTTCTCAGCAGTCACTGGTTTCTGTTCATTCTTGTATTCTGGTTACTTGTTACCCTTTTCCATCTTTATACATGTCCTTTTTACATTTTAACTAATCAGAGAGGTTTGTAGGTTCATTGGTTTCTTTAGATGCCTTCCCCTTTTGTTAGCATTATCCATCACTAGTTAGTTATAGTTTAACTTTTCAGAATCTTTCATCTGTCCTGAAAAAAATTAGTCTTACATTTTAAAATTTAAGTTACTGAAATGGAATTTATCTCAAGAAGGGTAGAAATATTTTTCAGGAAAAGATAGTAGCAGGTGAACAAAACTTTTTGTTATATAGCAGTTACTTTTAAACAAACCCCACTCTGATGTTGAGTATCTTTGGGAGCCCCAGTGTTATTCTGGTATTGTTTAAGGACATGTCAGGAAGGCCTGGGAGACTTCTCAAATTCTTCCCCAAATCATCTGGGACATCTATTCTAAAGTCAGACTAAGCCCCAAAGTGTATTGTACAGAGGTGCTGAGCTATTTGGGGAGGAATTCTGAGAAGCTTGAATAGAACTATATAATTGCATATGCTGATTTTCCTTTTGTATATTTACCTTCTGCTATTATGTAAAAAGAATATACAAAATTCAAACTGTTCAACTCACCCTACACAAAAAATTGTCTTTCTAGCCCCT